ATTTGTATATGCTTACAAGCACTGGAGCTTGGTTATTCAGTTATTTTGCTGCACTGGGTTTCCTCCAGCATAGAGGTGACACAGCGTTGATGTGGAGGCAAGGGGGTTCAGCCTTTGTGTCTGCAGTGCTCCTTTTGTCATTAGGAAAGGAAACCTCTTGAAGATTAAGTTAGAGAAGTTCAAGAATAATAATAAATTTCAGTGAAAGCTGAAAGAAGCTGGAAGTGAACAGGCAAGGATCTAGGAGCTGCTAGGAAGGAGGCTGCAAAAGCTACGAAGAAGAGGTGGATGAGAAGGCGGATTGTTAAGAGAGGAGCAAGGATGCTGTTCAAAAGCATACATTCATCTGTTGTTCTCATTCTGTTGTGGAAGAATGCAGTTGACTGAGGCTCCTCAGTAAAGATGGCCAAGAGTTGGGAGGACAGGGACTAGGCAGGAGGAGAAAGATACAGATGGATGAGAAGTAAGTGTGCGGGGAGGATGCAGGGGTTTACTATTGAGTGAGCACAAGTGTATTTGGAGTAAGAGCTGCGGTGAGAAGATAGAGGATTGAAAGACAGGGGTTTGCAGATGGTAGGCAGAAATGAGAAATATACAGCACTGAGTTTGGAGGGGTACAGTAGGTACCAAGTCAGAAAGGAAGTTGTAGAGGAGCTTGCTGGCTAGAGTGCTCCCACCAAAGTCAGACGTTTCTGGATTTTGTTGTCACTCTCAGCTACAAGTAGTGACCCCTGTGGAAACTGCTCTGTTCCCCTCTAGCAGAAGCATCCAGAGAAAATGTCAAATTTTCTCTCTCAGCTGAAACATGTGGTCCTGCAATTGAGCTAGAGATTCTTGCCCTGTTGAAGGGTGGATATATTAATAAGGGGGTATGGACTGTCATTTTTAAGGTATCTTTCTTTTTCTTTTTTTTTTTTTTTTTAAGTAATGTGCACAATCTAAAAGTACTTCTTTGAGAAAAAAAAAAAGGTTTCTTTCAGAAAAACACATCATATGAATTGTAATACTTAGAATCAAAGAACATCTCAGTATGCAGTAAGTTAGTTTGATGATAGGCTTTCCTGGCATGGTTTTGTGATTTTTGGCTGTAGTTAATTTTCACAGTTCCAGTAATTAGTCATTGCACCTACAGAGTGTTTTACCTGCCATGTTGAAGTGTTCCGTTATTAAAAGTTTCTTCTCTGTGTAGATTGCAGTTGATGAAATCTGAACCTTCTTTCTGGTAACTTGGGGAGGGGGGGGAAAGAAAAGAGCTACTTGTAATAACATCTTTTTCAGGTTTCTAATAACCCGTGTTTTTCTTCTCCAAGCCTGCTCTAATCTTCTGACATCCTACTTGAAGTTCTGACTCTCTGAAAATGCATACAGCCCTTTAGTAACCAGTAGTAACCAGTCTTCTTCATGATACTAACTAAAGTCAGGTTATCATTCTTCTGTTGGGTATACCCTTATCTCTGTTGCATATTGCATTTCAGCTGGAAGCTCAGATTCAGGTAACTATCTACCATGATACTGATATGATACAGTCTTTCTGTTTCTTAGAAATATGGTCCAGCATCCTTTATCCATCACTTGTATTCCTTGCTCCTAAATGTACTACCCTGTAAGACTTGATGGAAAGTATTTGCTTGCAGTCAGGCTGTCTCTTGCTGTCCCAGTGGTGTCTTCCTTCCATTGTCGTTCTTGCAGTCTGCAACTCGCTTCCAAGTGACTAACTCTTCTTTTGTTGGATCAAGAACTGCTTCTGTGTGATTTGCATGAGTGGTGCAGCCACTGCTGATAGTTCTCTATAATGCATTCCAAAGTCTTATGTAGCAGTCTGAAGTCTTTTTAATGTATCTTTTGTTTGTTTTCTTATTCTAGCTTGTTATGCATGATACTTCCTGATACTACATAGAGTATTTGATGCAAGCTGTAGTCTTATGACTTAAAAAAGTTATTTTCATTAATGAAATGTATACTCTTACTACAAAAGGTCCAGTCAGGCAAGTTTACCACTTAGTGTGTGTTGTTGCCCTTGTTTGATTCTTTGAGGTGATCTCAGATCAGCTCTTCCATTTCTTTTCATGCCTGTCTGACAGCATTCAGCCTCCCCCTCACTCATTCCTTCCCTTTGTTTTTTAAACATTATTTCAGTCTTTAAAAACATTCAGTTCGGTTTTAAAGCAGTTCACTGATGTTCAAAAAATTCCTGAAAATTGAAATAAACAAATAGACTAGAACCCTTGGTCAGCTCTTCTAAAAATGTCTAATATTTACATGTCCTTGGAATGGAATTCTTTTAGTATCATAGTGCTAATGCAGACACAGTTTTCAGTTGATTTTCTTTTTCCTCCCACAGAGATTCTCTTTCATATGGTTTACTGGCTGGATCTGCTCAGGGAATGAATGAGGAGTGTGTGATGAAAGAGGGCAGTTGTTTTGTAGGACCTCTTCATGTCCTTGAAGAAAGGAAGGTGTATAATGAATTAAGTGGAGATTGTAGGAAGAAAAAAAGGTGGTCTTATGCTTGAGGCAGTTGAATACCCCTCTGACAAAGTGAGTTTGGGTTTGTTTATTTGGGGGGGGGGGGGTGTCACACTTTTTACAGGTTCTCCTGTAATGCTATGCTTCCCTCAAATTCTGAGTGCAAATCTGTAGTCAGAGGAGCTGATGTGCCGAATGTTCATAGCTGCAACTGAAGTCTGCTCTGAGCAGATAATTCTGAAAAGTCAGGCTATGGAGCATTTTTAGACATTTCAAGAGGAATGTTTGTAATTAGCTGGTCTTCTTGGCTTTAATCTCTTTGCCTCAGTAAATCTCTTGACCTTCATTTTATTGGGAAGGGAAGCAGGCTGCTCCACAGCAGCTTGTGAAAAAGCAGTCTAATGTCACAATAATGAGCACCTTGAAAAGCTGATTACTAGGTCAATTTTCAGCTTGGCTTTTGGGCTGTGTATGTGTGACACTGTATTGAGCAGAGAGAATAAAATAAAACTTTGAATCACTGCTCAGTCACTAGGGAATGAGAAACGCCTTGTATGAAAATCTCATGTGGTTACGTACTTAAAAACTAAATGTCACAATGCACAAGCAGCCTGACAAAGCTCGGTATGCAGCCTCAGTTCATAAATTCTGAGCTCTCTCCTTTGGGCATCTAAAGTTCTTTTCCAGGAGATTTTTGTGGAATAGCCAAGTTATCAACAGTTCTCTTAGTAAAAGGTGTCTGGCATCTTCGTGGTTCTGGTACGTCTGTAGCTTTCATGTCCTTGCTGTAATTTGAAACCGGGTTTAGACCTAGGATTAAACATGCCCTTGCCTTTGCTCTAAGCTTTCAGTTGCAAAGCGTATCTGTCCTAAATGTGTTATGCTCCTAGCAGATGTTTTTGCAGCAGAAAAATATACACATTCCTTCTGTGCTGAACATCCTGATAGATGAACTCCACATCTTGTCCACTCTGATCACCTTCCTTCCTATCCTGGTGAAGCTCCCCCTTCAATGACTATACTGAGCCAAAGGATTTGGGAAGGGGAAGAAGAGGAATGTTTCTTTCCTCCTTCTTCCTGAGTGTTTTTCTTTGAGCAAGACTTTTTCCTCAGTTTTCTTCAGTGACTGAAGTTAAGCATGAAAAGATTTCCATCCCTTCAAATATTGTTCTCCTCCTGGTCTCTAAACCATTTTATGCCTGCTTCTGAGGGGAGAAAGCAAGATACTGAAGTGCTTTTCCTCATGCCAAGAAAGCAGCGCAGCTTTAGTAGGGGAAAAACTGGGTGCAGAGAAGTTAGAGATGTAGAAAGGAGTGGAGGGAGAATAAGAAGGAAGGAAACAGTAGTTTGTGATGAGAAGCTTGAATGTGCCTGGAGACTCATTAATTTGTATTTGCTCAAACTTGAGTTACTGTGCTTTGCTCTCATACTGGGTTTAGAAATACTGTAATGGGGGCTTTGAGGGGGAGAAAGGAAGGGTGACTAATACAGATTTTCCAGATAATGAGTTTTCTTCATGTTTGGAATTTTTTTAAGGGTTGCAGAGCTTCTTTAGGCACTGTTGAAGTACACATATTAGGAAACAGTCCAAATAGTTTTCTGCAAATCTCTGTTCATATGTGAATGTGCCATGAGTGTAGGGATTGTCTTTACAGTCCACAGGACTGCTCTGCAGCCACATGTATTTTCTACCCTTGGTGCTTTCTAGGTTTATCCATCTAGTGGGTATTAGAATAAAGTAAGTATACTTAGTGACAACACACGTTTATTTTTTATGGCCTCAGAATGAAGGCACGGAGTTCTCCTCAACTGCCTGGTGTCTGAATTTATTACAAAGTGACATCTCCACTCACCTACCTATGTTCTGCTGCTGAGGACGTCTGCCCAGTTGCTCACATAGATGAGGTGGATGGAAAGGTCATGTTTGTGGGGTGCACTTTCTCCAACAGCACCTTCCCTGCTGGTTCAAGTTAACACTGTCCACAACATACGACCTGCCTGGACTGATGAGTCTGTTGCTTTATTTGCCTTGATAAATGGGGAGTACACATTGTGCCAGTTGGGAAATGTGTGCCAGACTGGAAGGAAGTTCAAATTTCCCTGTGGCTGCACTGCTCTGTTACTGAATAAATGTCAGCATAAGATGTTGGTAAAGAATGATAACAAAACAATAAAAAGTGTTTCCATCTTCCTCCACCCCAAACCTCTGAGCAACTAGATTCTGCCAACATTTGGTCTAAATTAGACCTAAATGGTTGGGAGAATAGTGAGCAGAGGGCTAGTAACCTTGGTGAGTTTAAGAAGTAGAAGGATGTCGCTGGCCTGTCTACTCAGATGGCTGCTTGATATTAATTCCATTGTCTTGGAGGCCACCAGTCAGGACCTGTTCCAGGAGCAGACACTAGGACATATCTGCCTCAGTGAAGAGGATGATGGAGACAGCAGACTTAGATGAGGAGTCCTCAGCTGGTAAGTTAACATGGTTCTGTGTAGTAATTTTCTTTTGGATTTTTTCCCTTTTTTTATACTGAGTAGGGAGGCATCAGGTTTCCTTTGCTCCTTCTACTTGTGTATGTCAATAGGCACATAGTGTTACAGCAGTCCAGGGCTTGTCAATACTAGGAAACTTCTGTCAGCATAAGCACAGAACAACAGGAGCAGCATATGCCCTCTTGAAAGTCATCTTCTTTCTCCTACAACTGACATGGGAATGTCTTTTCATTCCTTGATAACGTTAGTTAACCCTGTAAAATAGGATTATTCTTTTGGAATAGCTGCATCTGTCTGGATTTTCCTCTGTAGAGCCTCATCAAATGAGGGTATGATGTGTATTGTCATCTTAATACAAGATGAGAGGGCATGGGTGTGATGTCAGGACTTGCTGTAGGCTAGCCCGCCATTCGTTCCCAGTCCTGGCTGCATTCCAAATTCCACAGCAGTTCTTTTATCCCTTGCTTTGCCTCCTGTCATTACTCTCATCCCCTCCACAGCGTAGCATGCAGCCATGCCTTCCTGTTCATGCCTCTATGGTTTCTCACACCATACCGCAGATATGCAAATGTCTTGTTTTAGCATAGTGAAAGATGCCTTTCACCTTCTTGAGACTTTGGATTAGTTGCATGTGTGATGCAGCATACATGATCTGTAGAAAATTACAATTCTCTCATGCAGGGGAGAGAATTTGGTGATTCATAGCATGGCATAGCCCACGCTAAGCGAATACAGTTATTATTGTTAATGACCAGCTCATTCAGAATTGGTTTTGTTGTTAACCAGTGCTTTTATCAGAGTTGATACAAGATGGCTTTACACGACAAAGCATACTGCATTTCCTCTGCATTTTTTCACTTGCCCAACAGCAAATCTGATGTGACCATTTTGGCAAACAGCCCTGTGATCTCTTTGGTGGTGGTCCCTGCCGTTGGAGGTCTGTGACAGGCTGGGAATGCCTGGGGTGGTGCAAGTCTCATTTGACATGTCAGTCTTCCAAGGCCTCCAAGCTGCTGAAATCAAAGGTTGATCTTTAACACAGCAAGAAAGATCCCTTTTGTGAGACTTAACAACATTGCCTACTGTTTTGGCTTTGGATACTGTAGCATTAAACTAATATAATAATAAGACGACAAAAGAAGCCCTCCCTCCTCAAGAAAAGGGTCTCTGGGGGAGTATTAGGTTTCTGTGGCTGGTACGTTGACTGTCCTTGCTGACTGATACGTGTTTCTTTGGACAGATCCTGAAGGAGATACACCTTATGGACTAGTGTGTAGTGCACTGGCCCAGAACTCAGGGTATATGACATAGCCACAGAATTCCTGGGTGTCTGTGGCTAAATCAGTCTACCATGCACCTCAGTACCCTGCTTGTAAAAACGAGGGTAGTAGTATCCCTTACAAAGGTGTTGTGAGAATAATGTTATAGGTTAGGACAGATATATTGCAGTAGGGCTGAGCCATATGTGAATAGAGAGAAAGGTATATATTAGTGCATAAGAAGATAATTATTTTAGGACATAGGACAGAGTAGAAGCAGCAGTTTAAAAGGGTTATAGCCTCTAAAAGGAGGGATAGAGTAGTATAAAGCCATCCTGCCCCTAACGGGGAAACAAGGAAGCTCCTGAAGGTTGCTGTAAGCCGGTTGTCCCGCAGCATACTTTAGATGCTACGAAATTAGAAGTATGGAATACCATCATGTGTGCTTCCAGTGTTAGATCCCAGGCAGTTCCTTGTCTCGGGGGCTGAAGAACATTGTGGAGGTCCCTGACACAAGCAGGATTTTTTTAATTGCCTTTAGCATTGGGTGTTTAAAGTGTTTGCTGAAATCTGCACTGTTGAACAAAGCAGCCTCGGCTGTATTTCAGAATGTATTTTCATGCTTTTTAATAAATCTCAACATGCATCTGAACACGGTTGGTGAACAGATGTCTCGGGAAAGGCACTGTGTGTTTGGATAGTCCTTGGTGTAATGGATCTCTCTAGGAATTTGGACATTGTCACGGTACAAACCTGCTGTCCAGCAGAGGTAACAGCCGTGCTGCGGAGGGCTGAAGCGCAGTGGAAGTTACCAGGTTGGGTGGGTTTGCTTTCTGTGTTGTGTGTGTCAGAGTTGACATCAGAGTTAAGGAGCTGAAGTTTAAGTATCAGTTGCCTACACCTGACACCCCACATATGTTTCTATAAAGAAATAGATAAAATGATAATAATTGGAGGGGAGGGAGGGTGGTGATGGATGCTGACTTTTGGAGAGGGAGAACGTGTGGTTCTTAAGGGACGAGGCAGCGTGGTTATGGATGCCTGCAGAGGAAGGAGTGAGGGAAGGAGTGATAAGGAAAGAAAAGAATAAAATAGTTAAAAAAAGAAAGGGAGTAGTGAAGGGTTAAGAATTCAGGAAAGATGAAGGTAGGTAGAGAGACTTTGGCTTGTGTCAAAACAGGGTAAGAAAAGGAAGAAGTGGGAAGGACCTCAGTGAGAGACCTGCGCTGATGATTTTCAGCCTAATCGTGCTGTGGGAGGGATGAGTGGGGCACAGTGGGGCTGTACGTGGCTGTGTGGACCTGTACACATGGACACAGTTGCACTGATGCCAGCCCATGCTTTGGGCCAAGCTGCTAGCCCCTTTCTTCACTGTACATCTTCACCATCCTCCTCTTCCTCTCCTGCTTCCATTTAATGTAAAAAGAGGCCCTCGATTTTCTTTAATTTTCTGTGGGGTTGTTGCCTGTCTGGCACAGAGTGACTGCTGCCTGCTCTAGTGATCAAGGAGGCCTCAAGGGTGGTTCTCCTCTACTGTGTTCCATTTCAGAATGTGAGAATTATTTGTGTATTTTATGATAGATAGTATTTAGTCATTAAAAGTTCAGGTGCATCTTACAATAAGAGCACATTAATTGTAAAAGAAGAGGAGGAAGCAAAATTCCATGAGTAACAGGAATGTTTTGAAAAAGACTGAGGAAAGTGTTGCACTGGTAGGAATGAGGAAATGACAACGTAACTCTTAGGTTTGTTTTGGTTTCTTTTTAATGGGACTGTGAGGGTGGTGATGTCCAATCACTACCACAGCACAAGCCAGGCAATTCCAGCAAGTGTTCTCACTACTGTAATAGAATCCTGTGATGCAGAGCATCACTTCTGTGTAAGGGTATGTAAGGGCTTTTGAGTTAAGCTGCAGATAGCAGAAAACTTTCCCATAGTTAGACAAAACTATATACGATACAAATAGTTTGTTGCTCAGTTAAAACTTGCTTAGCTGCAGCTTTATCTTGCTGTGCTTTTTGTTCTCGCCACACTCTCCAGATCATAATTTGTAGTTGTGCACTCGGCTTCCTCCCTCTTCCAGTTGAATAGATGAAGTGTCTTTATACCAGTTCTGATTGTAAAGTCACTGTACTGTCACTTGTTTCATTTTCTCCCAGTTTACTGATGAAGCAATTACAGAACATTGGTCCAATAATAGAGTTGCAGGTGGAACATTTTGCTGCAGTTTTAGGAAATCATTTTGCTGGGTTTAGCAGAGAAGGAATTCAAATGACAGGCGTTTGTCTCATCAGTCCCTGTGGAAACCTTGCCCAACTAATGAGCCTCTGGAAGATCAGTGCTCATGCATGTTTGACTGTGTCTGTGTTCAGTGTCTGCTAGGCCAGAGACTGAGCTGGGTGAAGCCTCTCTGGCGCTGCCAAGAGCCACTGGGAGCAGGGGGCTCTGCATGTGGTAACCAGGTAACCAGGCTGGAGACACTGAGATAGGTGGCAAGTGCTCTGAAGGATCGATGACATGGGCTGAAAAGATGAGACTAGGCATGTAGAGGCAAAGGGAAGACAGAGGCTTCCCAGATGAGGGCATGATGTGCTGGTGGCAGATTGTTTACACTAATAGCTGGAAAAGCTAGAGCATAGAATCATAGAATGGTTAGGGTTGGAAAGGACCTTAAGATCATCCAACCTCCCTGGTCCCTTTCAGGTTGCTGGTACAGAAGCAAAGTCCTACCTGTGTTTGTGCTGTGAAAAGATCACTGTTAAACGTGGCCATAACCTTACGTAGGGTAGTTCTGCTCAGACAATAGCATCCTACTGGTTTTTGTGCCAGCCTGGGTGTTCACTGTTTAAAGATTTCTATCCTGGCTGAGGGAAAACTGACTACACCCAGTAGAATTTGTGCTTTTACTGATTTTCCTTTTTAGAAGAGAAAAAAAAATTACATTAATCCTTTTCTAAAACTCCAAAGTGAAGAATTTAGAAGTTGAGATCTTCCAGGATTGCTAAACTCAGTGTAAACTTGACATATTGTGTACAGTCCAAGAACAGAAACTGTTTTTCTCTAGAGAATACCTGTCTTGTCTTCTATAGGGGGTGCTTTGAGAGGAATGGAAAGTAGTATGCTGCAGTATGATCCATGTTTTATTTGCTGTATACACTGAGAGGTTTGGAGTTAACCAGACTGGGGATTGCAGGAAAGGAAAAGGCATGGTCTTGAGATTCCCAAAGTGGATTTCATCCTTGCCATAAGTTCCATTTGTAAGCAATGATAATCTTCAGCACTCTGTCCCTGTTGTCTTCTGAGATGTGTTTTTGAGCCATAGGGATGTGATCTGGTAGTCAGCTGCTTGCACCTTGTGTGAAGTCTGTCATGGACAAACGTGGAAGTATCATATTTGGGAATGCACAGCCTTCAGTTTGCCACTTCCTCGGTTTTTGATTTTGCTCTGTTAACTGTCCTTGAATGTAGGGGCCGATGTGTATGTGCTGTGTGATTGTGTGCTTGAGGACACCTGCTGTCTGAGCGTTGCTAAGATCTTTACATTAGAAATGGCAACAGAACTCTGTTGAAGTAATAGCTTTGCTACTTAGAAGGATTCTGTATGTAATTTCGTATGTTCCGTTTGTGCAAAAAAGAAGTTAAAGGACCAGGTTCTGAGCAGAGTGAGGCCCACAGCTGGGTTTACCTCATGGGCATGTGTAGTACTTGTTTCAACCTGCCACTTGCATACAGACCTTTCAGGGAAGTGCCTCTGCTGTAAAAACATGTGGCAGGGACAGTAGAGACTGCTGCTGGGAATGATGTATGAGATGGTTTTGATGCTGGGTAGACACACTGTTGTTCACACTCCCTATATATTGGTGTGTGGGTTCAGGAAGAAGACATGCTTATGTTTCTGAAGAGCTTTTTCCCCAACCTTTCTCTATTTTATTATTTTTTTTTTAATTAGGTATAAAGGTAACAATAATCAAGCTTGGACTTGAGGTCAGTGCAGTGACACCAGATCTTGCTTTAATTAGGCATGGAAAAATGAGAATTGTTTTTGTCAGCTTTGTCAGTTGAGCATCAGGTGATGCCTAGGGCATGAGTAGCATAGTACACTGAAAATTAGCTATCAACTTCACATTGCTCATCCTGAGCCCTACGAACATTTATTATTCACAATGTATAGCATCCTTACAGGTGTTGGACAGACCACACTGAGATTACAGTGCAGAAGGAAAAACAAAGAACATGTGACACAGGGTTAAGACTGCTGTTCACCGCTCCTTGTCCTGTCCCAGATTTGTTCTTTGGCTTTTCACAGTGTCTCCTGTCCCCTATATGTAAAATGGATGCGCTAAAATAGACTCACTTTTCAGTGAATTAGCATTCAGTCAACTTCAATTTGTACATCCCTGTATAGAAATAACTAAATGGCATTATTTACCAGCTACTGTACTATTTTTTCCATTATTGAATGGAGCTCGAATGGATATATTGGGCTTTTTCAGCCTGGAGAAGAGAAGGCTCCGGGTAGATCTTAGATCAGCTCCCAGTGCCTAAAGGGGCTACAGGAAACCTGGAGAGGGGGTTTGGACAAGGGCCCTCAGGTACAGGACAAGGGGAATGGCTTTAACCTGACAGAGGGGAGATTTAGGTGAGCTCTTAGGCAGAAGTTCCTCCCTGTGAGGTTGCTGAGGCGCTGGCACAGGGTGCCTAGAGAAGCTGTGGCTGCCCCATGCCTGGCAGTGTCCAAGGCCAGGCTGGACGGGGCATGGAGCAACCTGGTCTAGTGGAAGGTACCCCTGCCCGTGGCAGGGGATTGGAATTGGATGAGCTTTAAGGTCCCTTCCAACCCAAACCAGTCTGGGATTCTATGATTCTATATTATAATGACTGACTTTACAAATTCTGGTTTTCTGCTTTCCTAATGTAGGCCTTTATGCTCGACAGCAGTTTTCTGTTATCTAATATTTATTGTAGAACTATGCTCCTGGATTAAATATATCATGTTTTTATAATCTGTCTCCTTTAGAGTTGACAACAAAGGGAACCACACTAATGTGCACCAGGAAAGGGTGTTGGGAATCACTGGAGTAGTGTATGTGTTGTTATGTCAGTTAGCTTTGTTCCTGCATTCGCATCATGGACAGGAACCTGACTTCTCCGTGTATCCTCCTTTCCCTGCAGGTATTGAGAACCTGCCATTTGAATTGCAGAGAAACTTCCAGCTCATGCGAGACCTGGATCAGAGGACGGAAGGTGAGGCTTAAAGATGGTTTTGTTGGTGAGACAGGAAGGATGCAGGTTGGCCAGTTTTTCCTTTCTTTGCCTTGATCAGTGAAGGTCTCAGGGCAGGGGAGGAAGCCTACAGCTGCTCTGATCCTTCAGCCTCTCTTAATGGAGGGCTGTAGTGTGTGGGCATATGTGTGTACTTACGTATTTAATGGTGAACTTGTTTCAGACCTCAAGTCGGAGATCGATAAGTTGGCCACAGAGTATATCAGCAATGCACGGACTTTGTCTTCGGAGGAAAAACTGGGGCTTCTCAAGCAAATCCAGGAGGCCTATGGGAAATGCAAGGAATTTGGGGACGACAAGGTTCAGCTGGCTATGCAGACCTATGAGATGGTATGGAGGGGAGTGTCTAGTGTTTACCACGTGAAAGGCTGTGCTAAAGACCCCAGTCTTGGAAGGCCCTGATGTCTTTTTTAGGCCCTACCCACTCTTGCTTCTCAGCTCTTTAGTGCAAGCCCCATGCCCTCTCCTCTTTGCCCTCCTGGGCTGTGTTCTGTGGTAACTTGTCATCACTCTCATCTTCGCAGGTTGATAAGCACATCCGTCGGCTGGACACAGACCTCGCTCGCTTCGAAGCAGACCTGAAGGAGAAGCAGATAGAGTCGAGTGACTATGACAGTTCTTCCAGCAAGGGCAAGAAGAGTGAGTACCACCACTGGGCTGCAGATTGATACAGGAGGCAGCCAAGTGACTATGGAAGTGGTGGGGATGAAGGCAGGCACTGGAGTGGTACAGATCAAAGACTGTTACGCTGGAATCTGAAGGACAGGTAAAAAGATGGTGACTTGGGCTCTTCTTGTGTGTGAGCATATTCAAGGCTGCTAGATAAAATTAAGATGGGGTGCATGGCCCAAAGCCAATACACGCTCTGAAGTGGGAGTGTATTTTAGTGATGGAGAGGTTGTTACTATCAGGTAGTCTATTTTGGTAGGGTGGCAGATGAACCACGTTTGTTTCTTCTTACCAGAGGGCCGAGCCCAAAAAGAGAAGAAAGCTGCCCGTGCTCGCTCTAAAGGGAAAAACTCTGATGAGGAAGCACCAAAAGCTACCCAAAAGAAACTGAAGCTTGTCCGCACGTAAGTGTTTTAAGAGGTTTGTGGGAATGAGGAGCAGCACTACAGATCAGACCAAGAAGGCCTAGCCAACCTCCCTGCAAAGGATCTGGCACATACCCAGACTAGACAGTGTGTCCCCTGTCCGTTTTTTGGGAAGGAGGATGAAGGAGACCTTTTAATTCTTTCAGGGGAGTGTGGCATGAAGGGGAAGGCAGATCATTTCAGTGAACTTGGGTGTATGAACCATCTCTAGCAAACAAGGGCATTGTCTTGGGAGAAGTGAAGGGACACAAAGCCAGTTATTTTGCTGACCTACTTTATTCCTGTCTGCAGTAGCACAGAGTATGGGATGCCTTCAGTCACCTTTGGAAATGTGCACCCTTCGGATGTATTGGATATGCCAGTCGATCCCAATGAGCCTACTTACTGCCTCTGCCACCAGGTTTCCTATGGGGAGATGATTGGCTGCGACAACCCAGATGTAAGAGCCTGCTCTTGGTGTAAATGGAGGAGAAGGAAGTGGAGAGAGTCTTGCATGGAAAGTCTTGTCCTGCTTGGGCAGGGCATGATACAGCAAGCAGTGACAAAAAGAGGGCTTACCTCAGGTGGTGTGGAAGGGTGGAGGGGTGGTTTACCAGGACTTGTTAAGTGCCTCTTCAAGTTTTCCTTGAAACGATGGGTTGTTTTCTTGCCCCCACACTTAGAAAGAGAAAAGGGGAGTTCTTGCTAACAATGTATAGGTTGGGTTTGAGTCTTCATTCCCTGATCACTGCTAGGGATTTAGGAGTCTGTGATCTAATGTTGGGAAATTGTTGTAGCCCAGAAGCAATGATTTCAAAAGAAAATGGCTTTTTGACTGACTGACTGCTCTCTATCCCAACAGTGTTCCATTGAATGGTTTCATTTTGCCTGTGTGGGTCTGACAACAAAACCAAGAGGAAAATGGTGAGTGAGCAAGCAATATGGAGAGTGAGCACATTGGTCTTTGGGAAGGGGAGGTCCTGAGTGGCAGAAGGGGGAGGCTTTGTCAGGGACCTTGGGAAAGGTCCTTTGGGACTGTATGTTCGAGGTTCATGTCATACCCTAAAAGCCTAAAGGCTTTTGCTTCCCTTTCTGTCAGGTTCTGCCCTCGCTGTTCCCAGGAGAGGAAGAAGAAGTAAAATCCCATGAGCCCTAAGTCCTGCTGCAGGAGCTTTCTTCCCCCTGTCAGGGCCTCGTCCCAGCTCCCCCAGCCCTTGAGGCCTTGGCTGGGGGGGAGTCTTGCCCTGTTTGTGGTTTGGGCCCTCCCTGGAATGGTGTGTACCCTCACGGTGGCTTCTGTGTTCTGTATCCCTGGGTGCTTCCGAATCCCTAAGAAAGGCCCTCTCTGTGTACTATTCCAAACAGGTCTCTGAGCCTCAAAGGGAATGAATGAGGGCACCAGGGTAGCCACCAGATTCCCAGGGATTCAGGTAGCCCCTGATTTTCCTTCGCTTTCCTTCAGCCTCCTCAGAGTTCATTGCCTACTCTCTGCTTAGAGAACAAGGCTATGGGATGGGGGAAGGAAAGGAGGTAAGTCTTCAGCATTTTAGGTCTTTGATTTTCCTGGATTTTTTTCAGGAGAGAGGGAGTAACCAGGCCACTTCTTAATCTAGTGGGCTGGTTGAGAGACTGCAAACCTAATGTACTCCCTATCTTTAATCATTCCACTACTGGTATTGAGCAGCCTCTTTTGTTGGGGAGAGCAGGAGGAAGAGAGAGTGTTTAGAACTAGCTTTGTCTCTCTTATTCCTGGGGTAAAACCTGCGGGTCTGGGAAACACATAGTGTGAAGGAGGAAGAATTTCTGACCACACAGGGAGAAACGGCTTGATCTAGCCTGTCTTCCATCTCCAAAATTCTGCCTTCCTTATTGTGCAGTGGTGCTTCTCCATTATGTTGATGATGGGAAGTTTGGGGATTCAGATCCCACTTGTATAATACAGAGTTAAATAAAGTTCATTGAAACAAATACTCCTGTTTACCTTGCTGTCACCTCCAAAATAAACTGCAGCAATTAGTCTCTTCAGTTATTCCTTCTCTCGCAGCTCTGCTTTTATTCTAAATTATGAATGTGATACAGCTTTTTCATATAATAATCCTGCAGTGTTAATAAGTGACATTCTGCCTAAGTCAGGCTTGGAAATGTCCTAATGTACTTGGAAAAGGTTACTAAGCTTTCTAGTGGCTGTGAAAAATATCTGCCTGTTCAGTCATGCCCTCACATGAGGGTAGACATTTATTCCCATTTCTGTTGGTGTTTACTTCATCAGTTGTCTTCTCTTAATTGAGGAGAGGTGGAGCTTATAGAAGGCCAACCCTCACTGTGGCTGTTGGGCAGTACAGCTGAGAAAACAAGCCAGCAGGACAAACCACGCACATCCAAGAATGTGGATAGGTTTTTCAGATATCCTGATAACTTCCACCTTGGATCACCTTGGTGCCAGAACCTCCATCTGCTGTTACCAAGATAATGTAAGGCTCCAAAACAGTTAGTGAAGATGAGTCTCTCTTTGTAGGGTCTGGTGACTGTGAGGAGATGACCCATACTGAAGCTCCCCCTTTCCCGTTGTGTTGGCATGGCCTGGAGATTGATGAGCTTGAATCTCTCCTTCCTGCTTGTTTCTGCTGTTCAGGAGGGTTTAAGCTTTCCACCTGAAACATGAAGGGTTTTCCTCATAGCTAACTTGTATGAGGACTAATGGAGCATTTTTGTTCTTGCAGTCATGAAGCCGAAGTTCTTTTAGGGGTTCATTACTAAGAGCAGTCAGAGGACTGTGTAGGTAAAGAGCAATTGCTACTCTTACCTTGTACAGCAAGCTTTGTATGCCCAAGCCTTCAGCTCAGAAGCTGGTGTTGAGTCCTCCGTTCAAGTGAGTTAGCATTCAGGCAGTCTTTGCTTTTGTGTCGAGGAGAGGTGCTCCGCTTCCCATTTTGCACAGAAGTAAAATAGAGGTAAGTTCTTACCCAGGCTACAGCTCACACAGTCTGTGGTGCTACAGTCTGGATCCCAGTCCCCAGATTGTCTTAGACCATTTTTCTGGGGCTTCCTTCCTGAAACAGACAGGAAGTATATTCTGGGAGACGTTGGGTGTGTGTCTGGTGCAGTCTTTGTAACAGGAGGCACTGTGCCATCTTAAAATAGGTGAGAAGGCTGTGGGTGCTCGACTAACAGCCGTTCTACCATTGCATCCTGCCTCTGTCCAACAAAGGGGTGCTTCAACCAGCAGCATCCAGAGCACATTTACTGCAGCTGAGGGAATGCTCTGACATAGGAAGAGGAAACTTGGACTAAAATTGAGACTTTTTAAATGGCTGACAAGTATATATGCAAAAGAAAGGATGTTGAAAGCTAACCTTGGAAGAGAGGGGATAACAGCAGTAACTGTGCAATCTTTAATCACCAAAGGAAGAAAATAAAAGAATCAGAAGTCAGAAATGACAAAGTACAAAAATGAAGCCATTGGGAACAAAGCCTGTAAGCGACAAGGCTACAAACATCAGCAGCTTTTTTTAGAATGCCTTTTATTTGGGGTATAATTGAACATGGCACATGTCCATTACCAACTGCAGCCAGCAGAATTGTTTCTAATGAGAGGAGGGGGAAGTGTTCTGTAAATATTTATTCTGTGTTGGTGCTGGTGTCCTATGGGGATGAGGCACTTCCTAGGCAAACAGTAAGGAAGATTTTAAATAGCATCTACTGGGGCAAAGGATTTTTTTGATCAGCAGTCTTCAGTAAATGGTGCTTGTCAGCCTGTAAAAGCCACCCGAAGGCATCCATGGTCTGCTCCCTGTCACGCTCTGGCCTGCCAAGGAAAGCCTACAAAGCTGGAAAAGAGCCAACTCTGTGCTGGTCCTTAACAATGGATGTCAAGAAGGCTGCCACTGCAGTCCAGATGTGAAACACTGAAACAACAGAGAAGTAAATTGCTTCTTTCTAAAACAAGCAGGAAATCCAGGTCAATAGCAAAATAAAAGCAGGTTAAGTAGCAAAAAAGGGTCAATCAAAAATGACTTATTTTTAAGATCACTGTAAATCGTTACCTGTATCACTGCAGTGGTATGAGATCTGAAAAAGTTTACTTCTAGACTCAAAGTGCTTAAAGAGGGGATACACTAAGTTAAAGTAATCATGAAGTCCTTTAAAGAACTGGCTAGCTTGCAGATTTCTGGAGCAGCTGTCAGTGCAACATAAACACTTTCTAAAATGGAGCTGGAGAAATTGCCCTTTAGAGTGATTGGAAATAACCTAGTTGATGAGTAAAGTCAAGTCTGGATTTCGGGAAGCTGGAGCCATGCAGGAAGACAAGAGAGAAGACTTTTGCTGGCCTCTTGAGTCCGCTTATTAATAACAATTGACCATGCACTCAGGTAACCGGTTTATCTTGTCCAGCTGTGTTTGCCCCAACTGTGGGCACCATTCCTAGGAAGCTGGGCAAGTGTGGCTCATGCTGCTGTTCAGCAAAGTATTCCTCTTTCCAGCAAGCAGATGCACTCAGCAAGCTCCGTTCCCTGGGCTCTGCCACCACCGTATACGTTGTGTGATGTGCACCATCTGTTGCCTTCCACCAGTGGGACCACCTTCTTGTTCCAAACAGCAAGCAATTAAACTAGTACCCTAGCTCAGCAACATTCAGCCTGTCATTAGATTCTCTTAAGGTATTATTTACCCAGCTCTACGCTCAGAGCCATGTGGTAGCCAGTATCTTACTGTTTATTGAACGTGTTGACTAAGGCTTCTGTGCTTCGGCAGGCTATTTGAGGCTCAATTATAGGCTGTGTTTCAGTGATGCTCACTTGATTTTGGGGGATCAATTCTTGTGAGACAATTACTGCATATAAATATATATATCTTGGAATTGGAAGGAACCCCTGGAGATCACCTGGTTCAGCTTCCACTTCAAAGTAGGGCTGCTGTCAGTCCTAAATCAGGTCAGATATATGCTGAGTGGCATCACGCTCTGTGGCAGAACAAGCTAGGGTAAGAAGCAGCTCCAGGTGAGAGGTGATGTTGCTGAAGATCTTAAGGCTTGATTCAAGAACTGGCCAAGTCAGTCCAAAGATCTCCAGATACAGCAGAGAAGAAGAGCATTCCTAAGACATAACTTGCTTATACTGGCTGAAAATAGGGCCAGGTCCTCCCATGATGTTTGTCATTGAAGATAGCAGATATACATGGTTGAGAAGTGGTGACAGCAGGATTGCTCCCCTCACACATCTACTAAGAAATGGGTGGCAGTTCCTCCAAGTCCCAGGAAGGAGGGATATGGAGCATGTGTAATTATTCTCCTAAGTGAATTTTTAGCTAAAGCACAGCAGGACACTAAAGTGACTGAGCCCAGTGAACAGTCTTTGGCAAACTGGCAACAGGAACATTAACGTTTCCTATCTCCTAGAGCAGGGCAAGGCACAGTGGCCATGAACCAAGTGCTCATCAGTAGATTACTCAACCTAGTGTGATTATCCAAACTCCAGAGCAAGCGTAAGGGGCCTGTATGAAGCAGACCTGGCTGGTTTGACAGCTCCTAAGCCGTTCTCCTTTGTATAACCAACCACAGCGCTGCTTTTTCTCTGCCGTGTGAAGCAGGAGGACAAACTGTGGAGATGCTGGCACGCCGAGTGGCAATATCTGCGGTGCATGCAATCCCTGACTGCTCTAAAGCAGCAGCAAAAGGCAAGGCAGGCTGCAGCGTTACAACAGTTAAGGACTGACAGAAGGAAACAAAATGTCCCATCTTGCTTTCCAAAGACAAGTGAATATTTCTTCAGTGGAGCTCACAGTTACAGTATAAGAAGAAATATAGATGCTTTTATGAAATAAAATGCATTTCATTTATAAAAATAGCCAAACATCTTCATTTCTGCTAATTTATGGTTCCTCTTCTGAGCACATGAAAGAAATGGGAGAGTTAGTTTAAAAATTATGGGTTTGCCCTAATCTTGAGGACAGGCAAACCCATGGCAAACACTCAACTCCTAAAGCCTAGTGTGAAAAAGTATTCAGCAAGTTGCCCACTTCGGTCTGTTTTTGCAGATGTACAATGTAATTTCAGTGCTTTGGGTTGCTGCCGTTGAAGGAATAACTCATTCAACACCAGGCTGGGAGGAGAAAATGCTGGAGTTATTTTTTACACACCAATAGCAAACAAGAAAATAAAGTTTGACCCCATGAGATCTTCTCACTCCAAAAGCCTGAAGAATCCAGTCATTGGAAGAACCCATTCAGTTACCATGGGAAGATCTAGGTGGGAAGAGAACTCTCTGGAGCGCTGTAGACCAAGCTCCTGCTCTCACTAGGAATAACCTTGTGCTTAGATCAGGTTGTTCTTGCACTAAACGAGTCCTTGAAAAGACCAGAGCAGTTCAGTCGAGCACTCTTTTATGAATCCACTCCATTAGAGGTTGTCTCATGAATTCAAGAAACCATTTTTAAATGCTGGTTTTGCAATCAATTAAATATTCCATTTTCTAAATGACAAGTAAAAAATTGCTTCATTCACTATTTCCTAACAAAATAAAATGTAAATTGTCTGAATTAATGCATGTTATAACTGTACAGTGCTTGAATAAATGTGAATAGATTAACATATCCAGCAAATTAAAATGAGTGCCAATTTTAATGTAAAGTCTATATTTATCAGTATATCACATAGCTCTCAGCCAGTGACAGTAAACCTACAAAAATACAGTACAAATGTGGAATGAAGACTGTTTAACCTGTGATTAAAGTCAGCAATTCGTAGCATTATGGTTTAAATCAGAACATTCTTTGATGCTTTTGTCTGTGGAGATGGAGAACTCAGCCCTTGTCTGAGGGGGTTGGTACCCCCATCCCTTCACACAGGCCCATAGCTACCAGGATGAAGGTGTTCTGAATAGGGCTCTTGAAGTAGTCTATTCTTCATGAAAGACCTAGAGCTGAACTGGAAGAGGACCTTTACTCAGTTGCTGTGCAATGACTCTCACGGC